GAGGAATTACTCATTTTTCTCTCATTCTGTTATACAAGATTGCAGTATCCAAGGGATGGTGAAGTCCCAAACCACATAATAAGAAAATAGGATTTCTACCAACAGGGGAGGAAGCATAGATGGCAGAAGGAAAAGGAGGCTCAGAGTTCAAGTGATACCCAAATCTCCAAGAATGGAAAACGAAAGATCCTCATAAAGGACTTTTTTTCTCATAGAAGAAGTTGTCCATGTTCAAAGTTCACAAAAGATGTGAGATTTTGCAAGAATAGCTCATTCCTATTTATCCTCAGTCTACACTTTTATAACTGGATAAATCATTCTACCATGCATGGGTAGTTGGAAATGTACTTATTTAAGTCAGTATTTCTCAACCTTAGCCATTTTAAGATGGATGGATTTCAACTCCCAGGATTCCCTAGCAACATGCTTTAAGGTGGGTGGACTTCAGTTTCCAGAATTCTCCAGCCAGGAAGGAATTCTGGGAGCTGAAGTCCGCCCATCTTAAAGCATGGGGGCTGGGGAATTCTGGGAGCTGAAGCCCACTCATCTTAAAGATTGCTAGCTGGTGGATTCTAGAAGTGGAAGTCCACCCATCTTAAAAGTTGTCAAGGTTGAGAAACATTGATTTAAGTTATATCAATGATCACCGTGAGATTGCTCTTCTAAAGAGCTATTTTTATTGTTTCAGTGGGTTTCAGTGCTGGTGTTCTAATTGCAGTTGAGTCAATGGAGAAAAATACCATTCTTTCCTATGATTGAACAAAGTCTTACCTTTCTTCTGACTCTCAGCCATGGTGATAGAAAGATTGAGCATGTTCAGAAACCCTACAGATTCTTTCCATCTTCTCACATTTGTTCCAACATAGTGGATTATCTTGTGTATTATTTCCTTAAGGACAAACAAATTCCTGCATTTCTCTATCTTCCTTTTAACTAGAGGGAGAAAAAAATATCCAAGTTTATATAAAATAATATGCCAGAGAGCTGTAAATTGGAATGGAATTCAAGAGTCAATGTTCTACCAAAAGATAACATGTTAGTTCGATAGTGGGATCTGAAGCTTTGACAGGCCCACAGCTGCACTTGTGTGATGCTGCGTGGGCTGAAAAACTCCACAAAGATGTCAGGAGGCACACCGGCTGGGTTTGCATGTGCTTGTCTATAGCTTAGCTTAACCACAATTTATTCAGCTAATCCAAGCTTTTGGAATCACACTAAACAACTGGAGCATAAACTGACCACATGGAAGGATACAATCAGCATACAATGCTGAAACGCAGTTGGCTAGCTTTCAGTACGTTGTTTGAAACACTGCTTTTGGTACTCTAACTGCAAGAGTCCTCTTTACATATGTGCAAAATCTTTGGCTGCCTCAGTTCTCCAATATTTCATTTAACTATGTGAATCAAGTGTCCTCTATGCTTGTCCCTTCAAAGACTTTTCATGCTTTCTCCTACCTGTTCCCCTCTACTGCAGCAAATGGCCCTGGCTTTGGATTATCTCCTATTTACCCAGGTATGTTGTCAAGGGAAGGACTCAGGTCCTGGCAGACCCAAATGCCAGAAGGGGCTCTGGGCTGAATAATCCTTGACAGGCCAGAGTAGCCAACCTGTGACCTGAGGGCAATGATTAGCAAATGGTGCTTTTCACCCAGTGACTGTACTACCTCAGTAACATTATTTTTTGTTATTAACAAAGCAATGCCCCTTCAAAACCCTTGCAGGAGTTATTAATAAAGAAAATAGACTGGCCCACTTGATACAACACTCAAAGCATAATGGCCAGGTTTCTCATAATCTATTAAACCTGAGTTAATGAGACAATTGCCGTATTCATATCATGTGCTCTCAAACCCATGGCTAGTTCAACCCACATTTGGCTGCATTCCCACAATTCACAGAGCCAGAAACTACTTCATTTTTCACTGAGTATATGTTGCAGTTTCTCCGATTTTAGCTTTGCATGTTGTATGGAACCAGCCATTTGTGTTTACATCGTGGTTCAGCAAATGATGGCTTACTGCAATGCATGAATCCAGCCACTGACACAGAAGTGCTTTAGATGAGCTCATTTTTCTGAGGGATTCATAGCATAGTGGGAAGAGGGGCGGTGACTAAAAAGAAATGCTAACAAGGTTTTCTCTCTCATTTGGGATTCACAGGTGGAGTTGTACCTGGTTATGGAGGTAAGAGCAGTATTTTAGGGGGAGGAAAGTGCAAAGGATAGTCCAGAAATTAATTAGCCTTGAATGACCCCCCCCTTTTTTTTTCTTTCTCTCTACATAGGTAAACCTCCCAAGCCCTATGGAGTCCTGGGGGCACTTGGCTACAAAAGTAAGTGGCACCATAGCTTGGACCGATAACTTGTTTGAGAGCTATTATTTCTTTTCATTTCCAAAACTGCCATGCTCAGAGATAGTCAGAAATAAGATGACAGGGCAGCTGATTGGCTGATCTGATTCTAGCAGGATGGATTTGGTGCTCCTATCCAGTTAGCTGGAGAATGCCTGAGCACCTCTGACCCCCTGTTCATCAGTAATCGTCTTCTGAACCAGTGAAGGCAGTTGTTGGGGATCCTCAGGAGAGGTCCAGGAGTAGCTGGGAGTTTGACCCTGCTTAGTTTCCAAGCCCAGAACAGATTCTACCAGGTACTATTCCATGCCATAAAAGCTGTCTACTATAGGTTTCAATACCAAAATCCAAAACCAAACTTCTTGTTTGTGCCTAATGGTTTTGCTATTTAAATTCCAGAATCACCAGTTAAATAAATCACACTAACCCACAAACACAACAAAGAACATTAAATGTTATTCAAGCTGCATGCATGGAGTTCTTGGTGCCCTTAGCTTGGTTGGATGCTTGGTTATGGCACTGATGAAGCTACTTAGTTGGGTAAGGAAATACCTGCAAACAAATAACTAAGATCAGAGAGCACCAAGAAGGCCACAGTTCAGCCTTGAGCTGCACATATTTTTCTTCTACTGGAAGTTGAACACGTCCAAATAAAACAACTAAGTCTTCAACGAACCCGGTTAACAATGTTGCATCCACCCAGCCAAGGTCAGAATCCCCAGGCCCATTTCTGGGTTGGCAAGTCCCCTTGGCCCCTGTCAGCCACCTGCTGGGTTGCTTGGTCATTCTGTCTCTCTTTTCTGATTTCAGGAGGAGTCGGCCGGAAGAGGAAGTAGCCCAGACAGCCTACCATTCACCTCATGAACTTTGGTGCTACTGCCTGGTCTCGAATGTACCCCTCCCACCCCCCTGAGAAAAGCAGAGATTCCACCACCGCTGCTGCCAACACAGCCCCATGCCTTGCCACCCCCGGCTGGCCCCCCTCCCTCTCACTGGTGCTACAACCATCCCACAGGGAGCGTCCCTGCCTTCAGCTCCCTGGGGCCCTTTGGTGCTGCAGCCTAGGAGGGCTGCTTTCAGAGGGGGCAGCCTGAGCACTTTAACCCACTCCTGAGCCCCGCGCCCACAAGTGGGGGGACAGGAGCCGTCGGCCAGCTGGCCTGCTTTTTTCCTGGTCTCTCTCTGCTGGCTCCTCTTTGGATCTAAGTGTGTGGGGGGGACACCCCTAGTTTTGCCATGAGCCCCTTGCCAGGCCATTTTTCCCTTCCCCCTGAACACACTGCCTCCGTTTGGAGGGGAGCAGCTCAGGCCAAGCTGTCAGTGCCAATGGGATTAGCCTTAATCCTGGAGCTTCTGCTGGCTGCCAGGCCTGGGTGGATTAGCACGGCCAGGCCACAGGATCCATACCATACCTAACGTGGGCGCCGGCATGACATCGTCCAGCTCCCAATGAACGGGCTGGCCAGGGACCCCTGTACATGACCAGCCAACCTGCTCCACATCTTCATGTTTAATCACTTTGATGTAACTGGGATGGGACACTTTTTATAAAGAAGAACAGTAACTGCTTTCCAAAAAATAAAATAAATAAAACCTGACTAATAAATAATGTTTTAAAGGTAATCTCTCTCTCTCTCTCTCTTTATTTCTCTTGTTCTTTTCAGAAAAGATAGTCGTCCTTGACTTACATCCATATGTTTAGTGACTGTTCAAACAGCACTCAAAAAAGTTACTTACAATCAGTCCTCACCCTTGCAACTATAGTAGCATCCCCAGGGTCATGTGATCAAAATTTGGGTGCTTGGCAACCTGGATGTATTTACAATGGTTGCAGCATCAAGCACATCATATGGTTGCTATCTGCAATTTTTCTACCCAGCTTCCAACAAGCAAAGTCAATGGGGGTAAGCACATTCATTTAACAACCAGATGATTCACTTAACAACTGTGGCAAAAAAGGTAGTAAAATCAGGCTCAACAACCACCTTGCTTAGCAATGGAAATTTTAGTCTCAGTTGTACTCATAAGTTGAGGACTATCTGTATTGACTCACCTGATGAGATCTGGACCTAATTTCCCAATAGCCTTGATAGCAGAATACAGTTGCTTAGCTCCAGCAAGTCTGAGACTATGTTTTGTCCTTGGTCTTAAACAAACCAAAAACCACCCACCTAATGTTAATATATTTATCTGTTACTGTTGACTTTTTTATAAATTACATTACATTTTTTATAAATTACATTCAAGATTATAGCTTCTATTGGAAATATCAACTCTTCAGTTAATTAATTAACAATTAATTAATATCTTAATAGAATTAAGATTTTAATTCTATTAATATCTGAGCCCTTCTTATTAGAATAAGTTACTCTAAATGTGTTAGAGCATGTTTAGCCTGATTATCAAACAATGCATTTTCTGGGTTAGCAGAATATACTGGGCAAAACCTAAACAAACAAGCAGGATATACACAGCATATACTTCTTACTGCATTCTTTGACCAGGTGACAAAATTAGTGGACCAGAGGAATGCTGTTAATATAATTTACTTGGACTTCAGTAAGGCATTTGATAAAGTAGACCATAACCTACTACCTGATAAGATAGAAAAATGTGGGTTAGACAGCATCACCACCACATGGATTTGCAACTGGCTGACCAACCACATTCAACGTGTAGTCCTCAACGGAACTCATTTACATGGAGGGAAGTATGCAGTGGGGTACCACAAGGCTCTGTTTTAGGCCCAGAACTCTTCAACATATTCATCAATGATTTGGATGAGGGGATAGATGGGAAACTCATCAGATCTGCAGATGACACCAAGCTGGCAGGAATAGCCAACACTCCAGAAAATAGGCTTAACATACAGAAGGATTTTGACAGCCTTGAACATTGGGCGCTATCTAACAAAATGAAATCAGTGGTGAAAAAAGTTCTACATGTAGCCAAGAAAAACCAAATGCACAGATATAACATAGGTGGTATCTTTCTTAATAGTAGTAACTGTGAGAGAGATCATGGAGTCCTAGTGGATAATCACCTAAATATGAGCCAGCAGTGTGCTGCAGCTGCCAAAAAAGCCAATACAGTTCTAGGCTGCATTAACAGAGGGATAGAATCAAGATCAGGTGAAGTATTAATACCAGGGCTTTTTTTCTCAGAGAAAAGGTGGTGGAACTCACCTCCCTCCCCTGGCCACGCCCCCACCCAAACCTGGCCACGCCCTCATCAAACCCTAGGACCGCCCCTTTAGAGAACAGGAATGCAAGTAAAATTTGGGAGGGGCTTCTCTGCCGCTTCTTGCTCGGGCAGGGTCGCCTAGGAAACGGGCCAGGGGCGCGCCGACCGAGCCTCCCTATGGCCGCGGTTGTGAGCCAGGCAGGGGCAGAGAGCTGCGAGTGCGAGCGCGCCCCCCCAGATGTTGCGCCCGGTGCGGCCGGCCCGGAAAAAGGTGCCGGAACGCGGTTCCGCCGCGTTCCGGCTGAAAAAAAGCCCTGATTAATACAATTTTATAATGCCTTAGTAAGGCCACACTTGGAATTGAGTTTTGGTCACCACAATGTAAAAAAGATATTGAGACTATAAAGAGTGCAGGGAAGAGCAAAAAAGATGATTAGGGGACTGGAGGCTAAAACATATAAAGAATTGGGTTTGTCTAGTTTAATGAAGAGAAGAACTAGGGGTGACATGATAGCAGTCTTCCAGTATCTGAGGGGTTGCCACAAAGAAGAGGGGATCAAGCTATTCTTCAAAGCACCTGAAGGCAAGACATGAAGCAATAGATGGAAACTAATCAAGGAGAGAAGCAACCTAGAACTAAGGAGAAATTTCCTTACAGTTTCTTCTTCTTCTTCTTCTTGTGCCATATCCGTTATCGGACGCTGGCAATCATGTTGGCGATCCTGTTTTTATCAGCAGCCGCACGAAAAAGTGCTGCCGAGTTTTGTCCAAACCAATCCCTTAGATTTTGAAGCCACGATGTTCTTCTTCTGCCTGGACCTCATTTGCCTTCAATCTTTCCTGACAGTTAGAACAATTAATCAGTGGAACAACTTGCCTCCAGAAGTTGTAAATGTTCCAACACTGGAAGTTTTAAAGAAGAGATTGGACAACCATTTGTCTGATATGGTATAGGATTTCCTGCCTGAGCAGGGGGTTGGACTAGATGACCTCCAAGGTTCCTTCCAACTCTATTATTCTATTCTATTCTATTTTTGGCTCAGGTGTTGGGGCCAGAATGAGTTCGTGCCTGCAGGATCATAATAAATGTCATTCCTTAATCATCAATCACTAGTTGTTCATTGATCTTAACCAAAATTATTTCATTTTTGTATTGTTTATTGTATACCACCCAGAATTGCAGGGGATACAAGGGGAGGGGATACAAATTTCTCCAATGAATGTTACGTATTCAGTAAATTGGTCTTTTAATGCAAATCTTTCTTATCTTTTTAAAAAGAGTTTTTAAAAAACAAATGTACATGTGAAGTGGAGGGTTTATAGTGACTAACAGGCATTATAAGTAATTGGAACCACATGTTTTAGGGCAACATAATCTGAATATTTGATGCTGGGAACTGATAAACATTTTTTGTCTTATAGACTTTGCTGAAGTTTCTGGTTGTTCATGATTGGAAGTAGAATTCTGGATTAGATAAGAATAAAACATAATAAAAATGTATCATGCTATCAACTGGATCCTTTATATGAAAAGGCAGTATATAAAATGTGCTAAAAGAAATTTTGAAATAAAACTTCAGACCAACAGAATATTTAAATTTTAGAGCAACTGGGAATAGCACAGACAACAGAAGACATTGCTGGTAAAAGAGGCATCCTCTCATAGTTAAGAAAGAGTTAATATATAATCGATGATGGAGCAATCTACAGTTTATATCATGAAAAAGAGAAAAATACTTCTCTGCAGAAACTGTAAAGAGGAAAGTTGAACTTGAATCTATTAGGAGTCTGGTAATTTCCAGGTAATTTCCTTTTCTAACTAACAAAATATATTAAAAGGCATACACTTTCATAAGTTGCAGCTCACATCACCTATCTGTGTCTTTTTGATGTCAGCAGTTATTACACAAATCACCCCAACCCACATTGCACAACTGAGATACCAGCATACTTTCAACTTACAACTACTATTCGTTTAGCAACTATTCAAAGTTATATCAGCACTGAAGAAAGTGACTTACTGTATAAATGGTTCTTGCACTTAGGACCAGTGCAGTATCCTCACTGTCCCATGGTCAAAATTTAGGTGTTTGGTAATTGGCATGTATTTTCAACAGCTGTAGAATCCCAGGTTTATATGATTGCCATTTGCAACCTTCCCAGCCAGCTTCTGAAAAGCAAAGTCAATGGGGGAAGCCAGACTCACTTAATGACTGTATAATTCACTTAAAAACTGCAGTGATTCACTTAACAACCATGACAAAAAAGGTCACAAAACTGGGTGCTGCTCATTAAACAAGCACCTTGCTTAACAACAAAAATTCTGGTCCCAATTGTAGCCATAAGCTGAGGACTACCTGTGCACAAGAAAGATGAATCCATGCCGCATTGTGTACAGAAAAGCACGATTTTCCCTTCCCAGATAAAGGAACTGTGAATTGCTAATATGGCTTTCTGAATATGTGTAATTTGAAAAGTTTTGGGTTCCAAGCTGGAGTGTAGGAATGTAAGCATTTTACAACACTGACCCAGAACACAGTAGATCAGATTCTTGAATTCAGACTTTTTACGGATGTATGTAATTAACTGAAATAACCAAGCAGGCTGGGTTTGCTACAAAAAAAACCTATCAAAGTTTTCATATTATGTAAGTAAAGTTGCTCAGCCTTTACTTGACACTGTAAATAACCTTTGTGAGCTCAGCCTACATGCAGCTTAAATCTTTGATGGTCCTACTTCTTCGTAATTCTGGGACCATCTCCAGTTCTGAGGAGATGTACTTACTGTACTTACTTTCCATAGCCACTCATTACACCAGGAACTATGCAGGAAATTTAACTGCAGTTAACTCTAACAAATAAATTCAGCCTAGCTAAGTCAAATCATATACAGGTAGTCCTTGACTTACGACCGCAATTGAGCCCACAGTTTTCCATTGCTAAGCAAGGCAGTTGTTAAGTGAGCTTTGACATTTGACCTTTCTTGCCATAGTTGTTAATCAATTCACTGCAGTTATTAAATGAACCATGTGGTCATTAAGGAAATCTGACTTTGCATGTCAGAAGCCAGCTGGGAAGGTTACAAATGGTGATCACATGACCCTGGCTGGGGCAGTGCAGCTGTCATGTAAAATACATGCCAGTTACCAAGTATCCAAATTTGGATCATGCGACGGTGGGGATGCTACAATGGTCGTAAGTGTGAAAAATGGTCCTAAGTCACTTTTGTCAGTGTTGTTGTAACTTCAAACCATTACGAAACAAATGGTTTTAAGTATACCCGTATTACAAATAAGCATGCTGTGTGGTTGAATATCATGTACTGTATGTCTTTTAGTTTAACCTACCTGGAAGGATTGTTGTGAAGGTGCAAAGGGGGAACACTCTATTAGTACAGATTACAGGTAGTTCTCTACTTACAACCACAACTGAGCCCAAAATTTCTATTGCTAAGGGAAACATTTGTTAAGTGAATTTTGCCCCATTTTATGACCTTTCTTGCCACAATTGTTAAGTGAATCACTGCGGTTATTAAGTTAGTAACGTGGGTTGTTAAGATTTGGGAGCTGAACCAAAGCCTTGAAATCAGTTGCAAAAACCGATCACACGAGCCTGGATACCGCAACCGTCATAAATATGAACCAGTTGCCAAGCATCCAAATTTTGATCACGTGACCATGGGGATGCTGCAATGGTCGTAAAGTGTGAAAAACAGTCACAAGTCACTTTTTTCAGTGCTGTTGTAACTTTGAACAGTCACTAAATGAACTATTGTAAGTCAAGGACTACCTATATGGGGGGGGGGTGGAAGAGTGGAAGTGACAACTGCAGCTAGAGAGAAGAAATAAAAACCTTTCCCCAAATGCACACCTCCCTTACCCTGAAACCGGCCGCAGAGTTTTTCTTCCACGCAGCCCAGGATTTGTCCTGGCTTCAGCGAAGCCAAGCAGGCCTTCAGGGACAGCCTGGGCGATCCGGGCTTCCCCCCTTAAAGTACGCTAACTCGCTTTCGTAGCTCGGAGGAGATCGATTTTCCCACCCCTCCCATCCCAACGAGTTTTTCTATCTTCTAGATCAGTGTTTCTCAACCTGGGCAACTTTAAGATGGATGGACTTCAACTCCCAGAATTCCCCAGCCAGCAAAGCTGGCTGGGGAATTCTGGGAGTTGAAGTCCATCCATCTTAAAGTTGCCCAGGTTGAGAAACACTGTTCTAGATAGAAGTGCCTCTAGGCGCTCCGCAGCCGCCCTCGGCGGACTGATCCCCGGATCCTCGCACCCTCTTCCTCCGCCAAGGCCGAGCGCGGCGCGTGGCTCCGAACGCCGACGGGCCGCAAGCCCGGGACATCGCTCCCCTCCCCCAGAGCCACGAGCTCCTGCAGCCGGCGCGCGGGGAGGGGCCAGGCCTCCAGGCATTGGCTCGCCTGGCGCTCTGCATTGGCTGGAAGGGAAGGGGGGGGGTCTGCTGGCTCGCTCGCTCTCCGGTTTAGACCCGCCTCCCTCCCCCCCGCCCCATTTTCCCAGCGCTGCCTCGTAGTCGGCCCCGGGTGAGTCTGCAGCCGGCGTAGTCAGCCCGGTCGCCCGCCCTGCCCCCTCCGTTGCGCCGCCGGGCCGGAGGTGGAGACGCCGACGCCGACGCCGCTGCCGCTGCCGCTGCCCGCCGCCGCCGTGCTGCTACTGCTACTGCCTGTCCGGGCCAGGCGGGGGCGGTTGCATGAGGTTGATGCTGCTGTGCTGCACTTGGAGGGACGAGCCCATGGGAGAGGACGAAGGTGGGTCGGGAGATTCCCCTGCGCCTCCTACCTCAACCACCGGCCTGCTTCCTCGGGGAGGGGGAGCGATCTCTTGACCACGGCATCCTCCGCAGGTGACCTTGAGTCCCGCCGGGAGCCGGGCTGCCTGACCCCTTGCTGCATTACACGCAAGACGCGCGCAAGCAGGCATTCGCACGTGAAACCACTAGCGAGCTCTCGATGCGCTCCCCCCTCCTCCCGCTGTGCCTTGCGGGTTGGGGGGGGGGAGTGGGGACTTGGCAGGCCCATGACGGAGAGATGCCCTTGGCACGTCGAAAGGGGACCTTGACGCAACCCCCCCCCTATCTCCGTTTCTTCCCCTACCGCCTCTCCACACTCATTCCCCAATTTAATTTGTACCCAGGTTCGCCGTCTCGAAACTACTTTTAGTGACAAAACTAAAAAAAAAAAATTGTAGGGGTCCCTGCGAGCACGTATAGAATGCGTTTTCTTCTCTCGTTCAGCCACGGAATTCCGACTTCGGATACTTTCCAACTCAAAAAAAAAAAAGGCAATATATGAGAACGAAGGTGACAAAATAAAAAATCTATTTCAACTCCCCCATCATCCCGTGGGTGCTGTCCAGGGTGCTGCCTCATCTTAATCTCCCGATGCCATTTCCCTACCAAGAACAAATGACCCCTAGTTAACCAAGGGCCAGGGGGGAAAATCCTTGAACGAGCTGGATTGCGGGATCAATTCTCACCCCTAATCTTTTATTGCATGTTTGTAACAGGATGCTTTAAGTGGTATTATAACTTTGGAACTGATTCTCCCCTTTCAGACATTTTTCTTTGTACTGTGTACTGTAACTTATACTGTAACATAAGAGCTGGTTTAAAATGATACCTTTAATAAGATGCAGATCTACAGCAGGGCTGGTTTTTTTCCTTCAGTCCTCCTTCATTCTTCCCATCCTTTGTGACCCCATGCTGAAATAGAGAATTTGGGGCAGGAATTATTGCCATTTATATGAAGTGAAGCAAGGAGAGGTAACTCTGTACATGCTTCAAGATACTTTAGCTCTTGAGGTAGATCATTAGATCCACCACCAGGTGCACTTTTGGAGGTTTTATTTCCCATTTTTGTGACTGGAAAAGACAAATATTCATAGAGGCCCCTTTGTTTCTTCGCAGCTGTCCTTCACCTTCCCATACCAGAGGGTGAAGTAGGGGATAATGCTGTTGTTACAGAAATGGAAAATCAATCCTTTTCCATCAGACATTGATCCAAAAGTCAGAAAAGCACCTTCTGCAGAAGGTTGTGGCCGTGAAACCCTTTGGGACTAGCAAAATTAACTCTTCCCTTCTGGCAGGCAACTGCTCTCCTTTCATCCCTAAAGAAACAAGGAATATCTATCTATCTATCCATCCATCCATCCATCCTTCTTCTCATTTTATAGAACAAGGAATTCTGGGTGGCTTACAACAAGTTATAACAAGTTCTCCTCCTTTCTGCACTTTTCTTCTTAAAGGAAGGGGGAGGATAATCATGGCTCTGTTTTGGAGGAAAAAGACACTAAGAAGCTTGAAGCTGCATGCTCAGCTCAAGGTTTTTGACAGATAAAACATTTTGCATGTTCTCAGAGACACTGCTTTGCATTAGATTTCCATTCTATATTTTGCCAAGGACTGTCTCAAAAGAATTGAATCTTAGGGATAACCTAGGAGCCAGGAAAGTTGAGAGAGAAAGGACCAACACTTGCACTTTTTAAATCTTAATAGCTAAGTCTGTTGCCAGAATCCAGAGTTTTACCACTCCAGCTGAGTTGTCTCTGCAGGCTGCAGCAGTTACCTCTATTATTTCTTTTGTGTTCCCCAGGAAGTGACCTGCCAATATGTGCCAGTTGCAGCCACAGCATCTACGATGGTCAGTACTTGCAAGCCCTGAACGCCGATTGGCATGCCAGCTGTTTCAGGTAGGGGGTCTTTGGTATGACTGTGGCTTGCAGGGTCTAGACGGAAGTTTTTGCTACAGAGGCTTATCTCCTTGTCTATGAGAACAAAGGAAGGGGGCATGTAGAGATCCATACTAATGTCAGAATTGCTCACCTGGATCATTCTATGTCATCTACAATATGATTGTGCAAAGTGAGCAAAAGCACACAGATTGATAGATTGCATGGGTCCTGAGTAATAGAAGTTCTCCTTTATTTGTCAGCTCTAAGAGCTCCAACTGATTTACAGGGAAGAGGGGGATCTCTCATTTTATTTTATTTGAAATAAAGTTGAGCTGACAGATAGCAGCTGGGCCAGATCCATCCAGTGAAGCAACTGATCAAAGATGAATCTGATTCCCCAGGTCTTAGTCAAACAACTACTATTATCATACCAGTGAGCCAAATAGGCTGCTTGTGCTAAACCACAAGCAAGCAAGCAATTGTCCTTAGTATGTTAGCTGGTATAGTCATTAGCCTAATATCTGTTAAAGCCATTCTAAATCAATGATCACCATCATTTCTTGTAGCAGTTTCTAGTGATCAGTACTCTTGATCTGACTTGTGTTCATGATTGGTCAGTTAGAATTACAGTCCCAACAATGTTTAATCCAATCCTGGATTAAATATTAGCCTTAATATATTTTAGCAGAAAAAAGTGCAATTCTGCCTTTTTCGGGGAAATAAGAAGGGAAAGTATATTCATGACATCCTAGGTATCAGCCAATCAATGCTTTGCCCAAACTGAACTGCATTTCAAACAAGCACAGCTGCTACTTCAGGCCTTTTGCCTGGGAGAGAGATGTTTTTGTCATGTTAAACACTGAATTTTAAAGCCTGCATGTTAAAGAGACTGTCCAGTTATATCCTAAGTTCAAAACCTGAAAAAAATGCAACAGTATTTAACTCTTACTGGTATACCCTGGATGTTCCTTTGTTGGATGTGACTAATGCAAAAGGCATCTCAAATGCTATAATATTAAACTTAAGTTAGGAAGAAGAGATAAGAAATAACAAGCAGATAGTATTTGGGTTTGTGTTATGCAACTTTGCCAGCTATGCTGGCAGGCTTTTGCATTGCTCACCGCAGTAGCAGACATCCCATAGGGCCAGCTTGTGGAAGGGTGCCAATAGATTTGAATTAGAAAGCAGCCTTCATCCTACTCTTACAAGAAAGTAACTTCCGTGCACCATTGCTCCATCCGAACAAGGAGATTAGAGTGCTCCCACTTTTGTGAATGACTGGTGACATCTGCATGACATGTTTAACTGGTTATTTTAGAGTGTTGTGCAAATATTTCTGGATCAGAATCAAGCTCCAAATAAATACCTTCATATAAACCTTGCCTTGAAATGGATTCCTGTTGGGCAAATGAAGAACAGAGAATTAAATAGAGCTACAAAATCTGATGGACCACTAGATGACAGTCAAGACAGTCTTTTTATTTGTTTGTTGCCTTCCAGTGGTCATCTTTGTGTTTGCATCCCTGTTCTGGTAGCCCTAAGCTGAATCTCTCTTTTGACCTTGGGACATAGAGATTGAAAAGCAGTCAGGGCTATTTTTTTTTCAAGTTTCCTTACTTTTTCCTCCTAAGGGCAAAGTTTGCCATCCCCTGCTGGCTTCAGCCCTGATTTATCACTCTGGGATTTTTTTGTAGTTAAAAAAAATGTTGAGAACTACAGCTGCACAGGAGCCTGGGATGCCAGCCAAGATGGCTGCTTCCTATTGCATTGAAGAAGTTGCTGTTTTCATTCATCATCTGCCATTGGATCATCAGGTAGATCACTTTCCTGCAAGCAGAACAGCAGCAGGCTCAATCTGCTCTTTTATGCATATAGAATCGGGGGGGGGGGGTGTGTTTCCTGGTCAAGTATATTGTGCAAACCCAGCCTGTTTGTTCACAATCAATAACTTGTGTAAATTCCCCCTGCAGGAAATTGACCAGGTTAAACGTGTAGTGTGAATGCATCACTGAGTCACATAATAGAATTCCTTTTACTCAGAAGTATATCTTAGGTTTCAATGGAATTGATTTGCAGATATCCTCTGTTTAAACTATGAACTGAAGTGTCTGTAGATTAATTGGAGGAACTGGTTAGTTTTAAAGCAGGAACTATGTTTTCAATTGTGGAGATCTGAACCAGGAACACTTTTGCTGCCTGCGGCATGTAAAATGATTTAGGGAAGAGATATTCTCCATCGCAACTAAGGGATAGTCCCTTTTTAAATTCTGAACCCTTGCATCACGTCTCCCTTTAACAAGCCTTTCAAAATGGGCATGAGATTTTGAATAATATCAAACAAGAGGAGAAGTTTCCCCCCCCCCAAGGGCTAATGTGTGACGTTCATTAGAATCAGTAGACTCCAAATTCAAGTAAACTGTATCGCAGGTAGCGGAGAAGAATAGACAGAAGAACCACCACTGAAGAAGGAGAGGTTCCTTCCTATATTCTGCTGCCTGCATAAAAGAATTGTGCTGGCTGCTGTATGCAATTGGCAAACTCCAAGCTTTGGAGAAGAGCTTTCATGTTTTAGGAGCTCAATATTTGAGAGAGCACCTCTCCAGGAAAGACTATCAACCCTGAAATCTACAGAGGGGCTCCCCTCAGTGCTCCAAGGTTGGGAGAGTCACGTTGGGATGCAGGAGATGGCCTTGATTGCTCTGGCTACCTTTGCAGGCCACACCATGGCTGTCTTTCTCAACTTTTCAGCATGAAAGGAGCTCCTGCCTTTTGACTCTCCTGTTCAGAATCTAACATCTACAGCAGTGGTTCTCAACCTTTTTAATGCCGCGACCCCCAACCGGTCGTAAGTCGAGGACTAAACCGGTCGTAAGTCGAGGACTAAACCGGTCGTAAGTCGAGGACTGAACCGGTCGTAAGTCAAGGACTACCCAACCGGTCATAAGTCGAGGACTTTCCCTGCCCGGGAGTGCCGCGCATGCATGGTTCCGCCCCCTGCGCCGGCCGAGGCGTAGCTGGCAAGCGGCAGAGACGGAGCAGGCCGACCACCAGCTGGCCCAGCCCAAGGGAGGTAAGGCACCCGCCGGAAAAGGGGGAAAAAATGGCGGACAGCCTTGCTTGGCGACCCCCGTGAAATGGTCGATCGACCCCAAATGGGGTCGTGCCCCATAGGTTGAGAACCACTGATCTACAGTTTAACTTTGTCTTTTGTCCCTTAAGTGCTCCCTATGTCTTCATTCACATAATATCTTGACCTGCTTACTCAAGTCACTCATTTCGAGGGTGCATGCAGTTCAGTGACTCATAAAGCCTCATAGCTTGGGTTACTATAACATATTAGCCCATGGTAAAAACTAAGCAAGGCATTAGATCTTGAGCAGATTCAGTTAGTTAAGGATGTTTTCTGAATATAACTTAGTGATATCATTAGGATGGTTACCGGGTGTTGTAAATGAAGTTCTTATTTATTTTAATCTTCTGTCTTGCCTTTAAATGGATTATAACCTGCCATAAGATCTGGGCTATAAATATTTAAAATAAGTAGTTGTGTTTCCTTGTTGGGGGGGCAGGGGGGGAGGCTAGGATGTAGAGACCTGTACTTTTCTTCTGTTTCTTGATTCCTGCTCTCTGTTCTTGGTTTTGCATCCCCCACCCAATCACTCCTTCCTCTTTCACATGGCTGGGGCTGAGCAACTACTAATAGCGATAGCAGCAGCTGGTTAACACAAAGAGTTGGCTTGCCTGCTATGCATTAGCTGGAAGACCTCCTGTGTCCTCTGGCTTGCCATTCTTTGCTTGTTCAGCACTAAGCTGAGTCCCAGAGTCCCAAGCTAATCTGCCTGAGGCCTGTCTCCTTTCTGTCATCCGGCCGGAAATAAAACAACCACTCTCTCACACCCCCACTCAGGAGAACGCAGCTCAAGGGAGGACGTGGGTGAGGGGTGTGTGTGGAGAAGCTGAGCAAGTGCTGTGGATGGATAACATTATGTGTCAATGTGCTGGTGATATTCCCGTATTCCAGACTGCTCGTTTGGTGGTTGAAAAGGCACCGAGGATGCCAAAATCGTAGAGTTGTTGATCGATAGACAAGCATCCTGGGCTGCTTGGGCAGAGTTCCATGGGAGTCACATGGATTCAGCTGTGCATCTGTCAATGAGGTTCCAGCAGCCAGACCTGGACGGCTCCACTGCATTGGAGGGCTGGCGTTCAGAGGAAAAGTTGTACGGAGAAGGCGTGCACGCAAAGGAAGTTCTGTCCCACTGTGTGATTACAAGACAGCTTCCTCCCTACTGGTAGTTAGATAGCAGAGCAGGCGTCTGAGTCACAGCAGTGGGTGCGGATCAAGGGGACAGTGCCCCTGTTTGTCACTCCCCTGCCTCTTTGGAGTGAGTGGACAATTGGCAGAATTCAAAGGGTACTGCAGAGTCTGGGCAGACTCCAGAGCCCCTCTGGAGGCAAGGACCAACATGCCCCTGGTCGCCCTTTAAGTGCCATCAGTGGACAAGTGACAAGAAGGGAACTCTACCAGCCATGCTGGCCACTGTGCTGAAACGCAATCGCCTCAGGATGGCGAGAGCCAAGTAAGTTTCATTTGGCATTTGTACTTTCTGATAAATCTCTGAGTGGCTGAGTTGTATTAAGCAAAAAGGTTTTGTAAGGTTCGGAAATCAGAGTGAATAAATCAGTTTCAGCAGGTTTTTTTTTAAAAAAAAATTAAAGTAGGATAAAGCATGTCAGCAAAGAGTTGGGGTGTGCAATGACTTTCAGTTCTGTTCTGATCATTTGCTCTGATGCTCCCAGTGCTCTGTTAGATGCTTGGCAGATCAAAGCGGTTTTGCAGTTGATGATGAAGTTTCCAGCCCGCAGCTGAAGAACAGCAAAAGTTCACATCCGTGTGCAAGGAAAGGCCATATTTTATTACCCCCACAATGAAGGGAGGGCTAGATCCCTTGTGTCAATGCTGCTTTGTATTATTTGCTTTGTGTTGGGCATAATTTTTTGCTCAAGGAGCTCATTAA